AGAGAGAGAGAGAGAGAGAGAGAGATCTTTGTGTTGCCCAGGGCATCAGGAAGGGTGTTGCTACCTCTGTGAAGCATCCTCTCCGTGAGGCAGTGATAATGTGAACTAACACTCCTGAGTCATCACCTAACTTTGAATCCTCATTTCAGGAGTGGACAAAGCAAGGCCCAGAAGGGAAGGTGACCTGTACAGAGAGCCACTGCCAGTAAATTCAGAGGGAAGACACCAGCCTGCCTGGTCCCTCCTCCAGTGTTCTTGAACATGCTGCTCTCATGCTTCTTGTGCAGCTGGTGACCTAGGCCCACATCTACTAATGGGAAGCTTTTATTATAAAAGAGGTGGCTCAAAGGGTCAAGTTGAATGGATGTTTTAGGAACATGAACCTCAAGGCCCAACCCATTACTATTCTTTACCTAACCTTGTTGCAGAGAAAAGAACACTGGCCTCAGAGGCTGAAAGCCTGAGTGTGAGCCCAAAGACAGTGGTGTGAGATGTCAAGTACCTAAGTAATACGGCCTTAGAACACTGAGAAGCATAAAGGAGCAAGCAAATAAACAAAATAGCGTGTGGGAAAGCCTTGGGATGGCCTCTCCAATGCATTTTCAGGGTGTCTTCATCCTCATTAGGACTTTGCCATCCCTCCTCGGCCTCACCATGCCCAGGACAAAGTCTATCATTCTCAAGAGAAACTCCTGAACGCAGAGCCCCCATTACAGCTCCTGGATGTCCATCCATTCAACATACAATTCGATCCTTGAGCCCCAAATAATCTCTAGCTACAGGTCCAAGCTTGCTTGTCCATCTCTGCTCCCTGCTGTGTCCTTGTGGGATGCATCCAATAGCCAAGACTCCAGACACAGCTCCTACCTCTGCCTTGGCACAGGCTGCACCTGCTGTGTGGGCTGCTCTTTCCCTTCCTCAGTTGACCCCTCCACCTTGTCCCTGAAGCATCTTCAGACCTCATCTTCTTCGGGAAGCCTGTTTGGGCCCCTCTGAAAGAGCTGCTTAGCCTTTCTCTTTCACAAGCTTCACCTACCCTGTGGCTAGGTGAGTGCCCATTTGCTTCTCTCTTGCTCCTCTGAGTCTGTGAGTGTCTACAGGACCAGAAGATGGCTCTGCCCATCT